CCTTCTCGTCAGCAGTGAAATGCACCACGGTGTCAGATCTGGGAGTTTCCTGGCGATCGTAGATGAGCCAGAAGCATACCTGTACTTCTGCTTCTTGTGTGGCTTTTGTTTCTCCTCTCCGGCCCCCAGCCCTTTTGCCTGTCTCAGTGAAATGAATCTATTGGTCAAGGGTGGGTTGCGACTTCAGGGGTGGGGTTTGGGCAAGGGAAGTTTTGCAAGATGGACATTCAAGTTTCTGATAGAATCCGGGTGGGCTTCTCAGGGGAACTTTGCTGTTCAGGCTTAATTTGAAACTTTACTTCTTTCCCCTCCATTTTCCTACACTACCCCCACCATCCAGTGTGCAGTTTATTTCTCAAAGTCTTCACCAGTGGCTGCTAATAACTTGAATGCTGACAAATAGGAATAAGTTAGAGCTGAAAAGGATAAGAATTACAAATATCTTAGCCATCAATTCCTGGGTCAGGAGTTGTGACAATGTAACAACGTGTTATTCATCCAGGCTTTATGTGGAAGAAGCCACAGCCTTTCTTGGTTTTCAATTCTCTTGAGACTACATTGAGTACACAATTTCATCCTCTCTCTCTCTCTCTCTCTCTCTCTCTCTCTCTGCAAGCTCCGCCTCCTGGATTCACACCATTCTCCTGCCTCAGCCTTCCGAGTAGCTGGGACTACAGGCTCCCGCCACCATGCTGGGCTAATTTTTTGTATTTTTAGTAGAGACGAGGTTTCACCATGTTAGCCAGGATGGTCTTGATCTCCTGACCTTGTGATCTACCCGCCTTGGCCTCCCAAAGTGCTGGGATTACAGGCGTGAGCCACAGCGCCCAGCCAATTTCATCACTTTTTAGAATAGAATAGAAATAAACACCTCTATCAAGCATCCATTTGGAAGAAAGCAGAATAAGAAACAAACTAGGGGCCGGGCGCGGTGGCTCAAGCCTGTAATCCCAGCACTTTGGGAGGCCGAGACGGGTGGATCACGAGGTCAGGAGATCGAGACCATCCTGGCTAACACAGTGAAACCCCGTCTCTACTAAAAAAAAAATACAAAAAACTAGCCGGGCAAGGTGGCGGGTGCCTGTAGTCCCAGCTACTCGGGAGGCTGAGGCAGAAGAATGGCTTAAACCCGGGAGGCAGAGTTTGCAGTGAGCTGAGATCCGGCCACTGCACTCCAGCCTGGGCAACAGAGCAAGACTCCGTCTCAAAAAAAAAAAAAAAAAAAAAAAAAAAAAAAAGAAACAAACTAGGGAAGTAAGGGGAAAACTGGGTTTTATTACCATGTTTTTAAAATCCATTTTGTAGTCAGTGTACTTATCTGAGCAAAGGAGATTTCCTCTGAATCACTCAACAATAGTCCATGTCAAATTCCACATATCTGCAAAATTATGCCAGAGCATCTAATAGTGTTGGGGTAGAAGGGTGCTGCTGTGTTCAAGCAAGAGTATAGAAGAAGTTTCCGTGGCCCGTGCTGGGCATTAGGTCATTTGTGTCTGGCACAGGCTTGATCTACAGTCTAATGCTGTAATGCTGTAATGTGTTTAACTTGTCTTTATATCTAATCAGGCAGAGACATTCTTCACTGCCAATATTCCACAGACTGCTGCACGTGTCTCAGGTGCTGCACGTCTCATGCGTCTCAAACAAGCAATTTCAGGAATAGACAGGGCACGCTTCCACCGGCAGAGAGAATAACACTTTATTTTATATTCTTAAGGCTTATTGCCCTCATACTTAGAGGTTTGGGATGCTAGTTTGTGTGTTCCCCCTGAAATAAATGCTTACAAGAAATAAAGTTTAGGAGATCATCCTCATGTGTACTTCAAGGAGACTCTAAATTTCAAAGAGTTCAATCCAATATATTAAAGCTGAATTTCTGATATTGGAGACACAGGATTTTAGTCTACTGGGTATAGTTGAGAGGCAGTTATCTGTTTTACTTAGGAACATGGGGAGAGTTTGTAGTGACAAACAGAGTTTGAGGCAAAACCAATAAGATTATCTTTAAGAGCAGAGATCGATGATATGAAGAAAAATAAGTGGCAACCTTGACTATATGCAGGAAACACATTTACATTGAGTTGTGGGGACTGGCCTGAGAGGACACTTCAGGTCGTGTCCTTTAATGGCCTTAAAACTAATTCCCAACAGAATGTCTGTTCATTGCCATACCTCATATCCTTAGGTACATACATCTAAAACCCTGCATATCGGTGAACAGCTGCCCCATCTTTTTATCAGCCAACCAGCAATTCAACAGTTACTGCGAACTTCCACTTTTCTCTCATCTGCTCCAAGAAAAGTGACCTGTGATCACCTTCCTGGAAGTATGATTCTTTCATGTTTGTGGCTGTTCCCCGTTTCCAGTTGTTTTCCATGGTTATTGCTTCTAGTGTGATCTATAGACTCTTATATCATCAATATCAGGTCATCATTGCAGTTGTCAACTTCTTCCTGTTGCATTTTATGTATTAATTCAACAAGTACATATTAGGTCCCATATGTCATCCATTAAGTTTCATATGCCATCCATTTTTCTTAATTCTGAGAATCTTACATGAACTAGACAGACAGATTCTTTTGTCTAATGGTGCCCTCACTATAGTGAGTAGAGGAGACCAGCTTACATACTGAAATAAATGAATGAATAAGAGATTTCAGGTGGTATTATATGACTTGAAGAAACTGCATATTGTATCTACAGCCATCTGGTCTTTGAGAAACCTGACAAAAGCAAGCAATGGGGAAAGGATTTTCAATTTAATAAATGATGGGCAGAACTAGCTAGCCATATGCTGAAAAATGAAACTGGACCCCTTCCTTATACCTTATCCAAAAATTAAATCCAGATGGATTTGAGACTTAAATGAAAAACCCCAAACTCTAAAAAGCCTAGAAAAAAATCAGGGCAATACCCTTCATGATATAGGCATGGGCAAAGATTTCATGATGAAAACATGAAAAGCAATTGCAGCAAAACCAAAAATTGACTAATGGAATCTAATTAAACTAAAGAGCTCCTTCACAGAAAAAGAAACTACCATCAGAGCGAAAGACAATCTACAGAACATGGAAAAATGTTTGCAATCTATTCTTCTGACAAAGGCCTAACATCCAGAGTAAATAAGAAACTTAAACAACTTTACAAGAAGAAAAAAAAAAACATTAAAACCATGGCACACATTTACCTATAAAACAAACCTGCATATCCTGCACATGTACCCTGGAATTTAAGGTAAAATTAAATTAAATCAAAAGAAAAAAATAAAAACAAATGACATGGCAATGTTAGGAAGTTACCCTATATGGCCTAAAAAAAGAAGGCATAAATAATCCAAAACTTGTTTAACATATCATCAAGAAATAACCATAAAAATGAACAACTAGCAGCCCTCGGGGGTGCTCTGCCTATACAATAGTCATTCTTTTATTTCTTTACTCTCTTAAGAAACTTGCTATGACTTAAAAAAAACAAGTGCATATTGTGAAATGGTAGTGACTGCATTTGAAGTGGGTCCTTTATGATATGATGGAGCCAGGCAGAGACTTTTGGAGAAAGAAGTTCCTGAAAGAAGGAAGGGCATGTGCCAAATTCTGAGGCTGAGGAGAAACAAAGAAAGAAAGAAAAAAAAAAGAATAAAGAACTTGACATTTCACTGTATGTAAAGACATTGCAAGGCTAGAGTAGAGCATGTTGAAGTAAAAATAAGAGAAATCAAAATTAGAGAGAAGGGCACAGGCTTATTATTTGGGTCTTACAGATGAGAATAGTAGAGTAGGTATTTTATACTGAAACTTAGGGGACCAGGGGAGATTTGTAAACCTGAGATAAACATGGTCTCTAGTCCACTCAAACCCTAAGCTTATTTTTTTCTCCTTCCTCATCTGCCTTACTCAGTGCAAGGTGCTATAACAAAATACAAAATACCAAAGACTGGATGGCTTCAACAACAGAATTTTTTCTCACGCTTCTGAAGGCTGATTTGTGGTCAGGGTTCTCTTCCTGGATTGCAGATAGCTGACTTCTCACTGTGTCCTCACTGGGAGGAAAGACAAATGGCTTGTCTCTCTGCTTCTAATAAGGAAATAAATTTTATGATGGGGATATGCTCTTATGAGCTCATCTAAACCTAGTTACTTTTCAAAAGTCTCCCCTACAAATAAGGTCAGTTGGGAGTTGGGGATTCAGCATGTAAATTGTGAGGAGACAAACATTAGGTCCATAACACCATCACATTAAACTCTTACTTATACAGATGCACTAACATCCAACTATACAAAAATTCCATTGAGTAAGCCTTCCAATTAATCTTGTACAAATTCTTCCCACTACTTTTGATCTCACAGTACTGGTCTCTTGCTCAGACACAACATGCTCATGCTGACTTGTGAGCCTCTGCTGATTCATTTCTTACACCTAAGTCCTCACCTCCCCCAGAAGCTTACAGTGAGGTCTCTTCCTGGAAATGCTGTGACCAATCTGCACACTTGAGGACATGGGATTAATCTTACTTTCTTAGGCATCCACAAGGGCTATGAAAAGCCAGATGCCATTAGAAATAATATTCCCCCTAACAAAATAAATGCTACACCTGACTAAACCTTGACCTCCGAAAGCTTGGAACACTTTCCCTTCATTAAGAACCATCCTTCCTACTCTGCTGCAATCCAACACCCAGGTCTTCACTGAAACTTTCCCCATCTCTTCCAAAACATGTTTCTGAGGAGTCTGTCCTATAGAGGTCTTTCTTCTTACCAGCTTTCTCCTGCACAATTTACCCCCAACTTGCAGAACTCCCGTATATCAGTGTCTTTACTGCTTTGTTCTTTTATTTGCTCATCAAAATTCACATCTCATGTAAAAATAAATGGGGAGCATGCGCACACCACAAACACACATAGCCATACAGAAATACACATAAACACATCCCTCAATATAAACCCTTTGGGGCTCATATATTTTAAAAGATGTAAAAAAAAGAGCTGAAGAAAATCATGTGTGATCTCTTAGCAGAATAGATTTATTATTTTTATTGCTTGCAGAATAAAGCCTATCCTTGAAAGCTCTGCATTGTGGGCAGGGGGCTCAGTGGTATCTGGAGGACAGGGCACTGGCCACTCCAGCCACCATCTTCTGCCAGGAAGCCTGCACTTCAGGGGTGAATTCTTTGCCGAAATAGATTGCCAAAACAGTCACCAGCACATTTCCCAGGAGCTGTTGAGATGAAAGGAGACAACAAAAATGAACCCATAGTGAGCTGAGAGCTCCAGCCTGGCCTCCAGAAACTACACACCCAGCTTCCACCCAGAATCAAGCCTATGTTAACTTCCCTCAAAGCCTGAGATTTTGCCTTCCATTAAATGCAGGTAGTTGTTCCCCTTGCAGCACTAGTCACTGGCCAAAATTTAAAACTTGCTGTCTTCTTGCCACCACAAACCCTGTATGTTGTAGGCTGAAAACATTAAAAGAAACACACGCGCGCGCACACACACACACACACACACACACACCCCTGGCTTTCAAAATCTACTCTAGCCCAAATGTTTCAATTGATCCTCACCCCTGGACACACTTTGCCCCCATCTGGAATTAGAGGATATAAGTTTGTAATGAAGTGATAGTGGCATTTTGTATGTGTCCAGCTGATATAGGAATAGCCTCAGACTCTGTTTGGTCACCAGAGTTCCCCACTTTGACTGGGCCAATATATGCCTTCTGCCTGCATCTTTTTAATGACCATACTTGTCCTGCCTCCAGATAGACGTTTTAAAACAAATAACAAAAATGAGGGAAAGTTGAAAGTTCTTTCTACCGGAATCTAATAAAGAAAAGTCATTTTCCTCATTTCCACCTCTCTTTTGTCAATGTCAAAATTGTCCGTCTAGATTTTTAGAGGCACTCCTTAGGCCCTAAAACATTACCATTCGGTCTCAGCCCAGTTAGTCCTCTGCAGTTTCTTCACTCCCAACCCCAGTATCTTCAAATAGCTCACACCCAGCAGGTAGGTTCGGCTGTCCTCAGATCAATACTCAGTTGTCTAAGTTGCCTTGAGACTGAACTCTGAAACTGCTGAAACTCCTGGACTCACCCTGAAGTTCTCAGGATCCACATGCAGCTTGTCACAGTGCAGCTCACTCAGCTGGGCAAAGGTGCCCTTGAGATCATCCAGGTTCTTTATGGCATCTCCCAAGGAAGTCAGCACCTTCTTGCCGTGTGCCTTGACCTTGGGGTTGCCCATGATGGCAGAGGCAGAGGACAGGTTGCCAAAGCTGTCAAAGAACCTCTGGGTCCATGGGTAGACAACCAGGAGCCTGTGAGATTGAACAAGAGCAGTTTGACAGTCAGAAAGTGCCACAAATCCTAAGAAGTGGCCTGGACTTTTGCCAGGCACAGGGTCCTTCCTTCCCTTCCTTGTCCTGGTCACCAGAGCCTACCTTCCCAGGGTTTCTCCTCCAGCATCTTCCACATTCACCTTGCCCCACAGGCTTGTGATAGTAGCCTTGTCCTCCTCTGTGAAATGACCCATGGCGTCTGGACTAGGAGCTTATTGATAATCTCAGCCGTTCCAGAAGCGAGTGTGTGGAACTGCTGGAGGGTGCTTCCTTTTATTCTTCATCCCTAGCCAGCCGCCGGCCCCTGGCCTCACCTGATACTCTAAGACTATTGGTCAAGGTTGCCTTGTCAAGGCTATTGGTCAAGGCAAGACTGGCCAACCCATGGGTGGAGTTTAGCCAGGGACCGTTTCAGACAGATATTTGCATTGAGATAGTGTGGGGAAGGGGCCCCCAAGAGGATACTGCTGCTTAATTTTTTTATAGCCTTTGCCTTGTTCCGATTCAATCATTCCAATTTTTCTCTAATTTATTCTTCCCTTTAGCTAGTTTCCTTCTCCCACCATAGAAGATACCAGGACTTCTTTTGTCAGCCTTTTTTTACCTTCTTGTCTCTAGCTCCAGTGAGGCCTGGAGATTAAAGTTAAAGCATGTACCAATTTTTGAAAAGTTCGGGGATTGTGACACGTGTTTTAGGCATAGGTCCAGGATTTTCGATGGGACAAGTCTTAGTCTCATTTAGTAAGCATTGTGCTATACTTATCTTTGAAAATACTCTCTGTGGCTTTTTCTGTTATCTCTTAAGTTCTCAATAGTGCAGTGAAAATAATTCCTATAAAGCCAGTTTCAGTGCAGTGAAAGATTAGTGTTATGTAATATAAGACCTAATCCTTACCTCAATATGTACTTATCTGTACCTATTTGAAATAAATCATGCCTGTTTCATCTTAGAAAAAATATTGGATTCCATATTCAGGATGTATATATATATCATATGATGTGTATTTATCACTGGGTAAGTGTGTGTGCTGGCTGATGACCAGGGTTTTGGTGTAGCTTTTTTATGCTCAGTAAAGATGATGGTGGAATGTTCTTTGGCAGGTACTCTCCATTAGAATTAATTATCTTGTATAGATGCTAGGTTCACTTCTCAGGGAATCTTATTCTAAGACATAAGACATGTGTGTGCACGGAAAACAACTCTAGAGAAGCAAGGGCTGTTTTTATTGGCTAATAGTCCACACACTATGACAACTCGAATATCAGTGTACTTTAGACAGCTTTATTTCTAACGCAGTGCTGTTTCTGACATATTGGACCGTTAACAGGGTAAGAAGTATTTCTGCTGGTTTTTTGGTTCTGTTTTGCTTTTGGTTAGTTTGTTTTTGTTTTTCTCTGCAAGTGATCCATGATCTCAAACCTTGCTAGACTATGCCAGAAGATCTGGAATTCTGGTTTATTGGAGGTGAGCTGTATCTTCAAATTAGTTTATCCCCTAAGCTATCAGGTTGATTTAAATTGGTGAAATCCTTTCAGGCTTCATGATCCTGTGTAAAGATTATACCTGTTCGTTGATAAAGATGGCTAAAAGGCCAGAAAGGTACACATTTGCCCATGTAACAAGCCTGCACATCCTGCACATGTATTAAATTAAAATGAAATGAAATAAAATTAAAAGGAAAAAATGCCATGGCAACATCAGGAAGTTATCTTTTATGGCCTAAAAATGGGCGGCATAAATAATCTACCCCTTGTTTAGCATACTATTGAAAAATAACAACAAAAATCGGCAACGAGCAGCCCTTGGGGCTACTCTGCCTATGAAGTAGCCGTTCATTTATTCCTTTACTTTAATTTTTTATAAACTTGTTTTACTAAAAAAAAAAGAGAAAGAAAGAAACAAGAAAGAAAGTGCGAATTGTAAAATGGTAGTGAGTGACAGCATTTGAAGTGGATCCTTTATGGTATGATGGAGCCAGGCAGAAGATGTTTGGAGAAAGAAGTTCCTGAAAATAGGAAGGGCATGTAGAAAACTGTGAGGCTGAGGAGAAAAACGAAAGAAAGAAATATAAAGAAAGAACTTGACATTTCACTGTATATAAATACATTACAAGCCTAAAGTACATTGAAGAAAAAATAGGAGAAATCAAAGTTAGAGAGAAGGGCTCAGGCTTACGACTTGGGAGTTACAGATGAGAGTAGTAGAGTAGGTATTTTATACTGAAACATAGGAGACCAGGGGAGATTTGTAAACCTGAGATAAACATGGTTTCTAATCCACTGAACACCCAAGTTTATTTTTTTCTCCTTCTTCATCTGCCTTACTTAGTGCAAGGTGCTATAACAAAATAGCATAGACCGGATGGCTTCAACAACAGATTTTTTTCTCACATTTCTGCTGATTCCTGGTCAGGGTTCTCTTCCTGGGTTGCAGATGGCTGACTCCTCACTGTGTCCTCACCAGAAGGAAGAGAAATGGCTGACCTCTCTGCTTCTGATGAGGAAAATAATTCTCTGAGAGCGATCTGCTCTCATGAGCTCATCTAAACCTAATTACTTTTCCAAAGCCTCCCAGACAAATGGGGCCAACTGGGAGTTGGGGATTTAGCATGTGAATTTCCTGGAGACACAAGCGTTAGGTTCATAACACCATCACATTAAACTAAACACTCACTTATAAACATGCATTAACTTTCAATTATATAAGAATTCCAGAGAATCTGCCTTCTCAATTAATGTTATACAAATTCTTCACATTACATTTTCATCTGACAGTGCTGGTCTGCTGCTCAGGCATGACACTATGATGCTGACTTGTGAGCCTCTGCTGGCTCATTTCCTTCACCTAAGTCCCCACCTCCCCTAGAAGCTTACAATGAGGTCTCTTCCTTGAAATGCTGTGACTTAAGGGCATGGGATTAATTTCGCCTCTTTAGGCATGCATCAACACTTAAAACGAAAAGTTTCTTAGTAAAGTAAGGATCACTTCATTGCAGTTACTGTGGAAAGAAAAATCTGTTTCCTGCTCTGATCTCTAACACCTCAACCTCCCCATAGAGCCTCACAAGGACTGAGAAAAGTCAGATGCCATTAGAAATAGTATTGCCCCTAATAAAATAGAATGGCTATCCCTGCCTAAACCTTGACTTCCTAAATTTGGAACACTTTGTCTTCGTTGAGCCCCTTCCTCGCTGCTGTGCTGCAATCCAGCCCCCAGGTCTTCACTGAACCTTCCCCCATCTCTTCCAAAACATCTGTTTCTGAGGAGTCCTGTCCTACAGAGGTCTTTCGTCCCACCAGATTTCTCCTACACTTTTTATTCTCACTTGCATAACTCCCATGTACAAGTTTCTTTATTGTCTAGTTCTTTTAATTGCTCATCAAAACCCACATCTCATGTAAACAAAAAAGTGAGGAATATGCACATGACACTAACACACACAGCCATGTACAAATACACATACACACATCCCTCAACATAAAACCCTTTGTGGCTCATATATTTAAAGAGACATAAAAAAAGAACTGAAGACAATCATGTGTGATCGCTTAGCAGAATAGATTTATTGTTTTTATTGCTTGCAGAATAAAGCCTATCCTTGAAAGCTCTGCATCGTGGGCAGGGGGCTCAGTGGTATCTGGAGGACAGGGCACTGGCCACTCCAGCCACCATCTTCTGCCAGGAAGCCTGCACTTCAGGGGTGAATTCTTTGCCGAAATGGATTGCCAAAACAGTCACCAGCACATTTCCCAGGAGCTGTTGAGATGAAAGGAGACAACAAAAATGAACCCATAGTGAGCTGAGAGCTCCAGCCTGGCCTCCAGAAACTACACACCCAGCTTCCACCCAGAATCAAGCCTATGTTAACTTCCCTCAAAGCCTGAGATTTTGCCTTCCATTAAATGCAGGTAGTTGTTCCCCTTGCAGCACTAGTCACTGGCCAAAATTTAAAACTTGCTGTCTTCTTGCCACCACAAACCCTGTATGTTGTAGGCTGAAAACGTTAAAAGAAACACACGCGCACACGCACACACATACACACACACACACACACACACACCCCTGGCTTTCAAAATCTACTCTAGCCCAAATGTTTCAATTGATCCTCACCCCTGGACACACTTTGCCCCCATCTGGAATTAGAGGATATAAGTTTGTAATGAAGTGATAGCGGCATTTTGTATGTGTCCAGCTGATATAGGAATAGCCTCAGACTCTGTTTGGTCACCAGAGTTCCCCACTTTGACTGGGCCAATATATGCCTTCTGCCTGCATCTTTTTAATGACCATACTTGTCCTGCCTCCAGATAGATGTTTTAAAACAAATAACAAAAATGAGGGAAAGTTGAAAGTTCTTTCTACCGGAATCTAATAAAGAAAAGTCATTTTCCTCATTTCCACCTCTCTTTTGTCAATGTCAAAATTGTCCGTCTAGATTTTTAGAGGCACTCCTTAGGCCCTAAAACATTACCATTCGGTCTCAGCCCAGTTAGTCCTCTGCAGTTTCTTCACTCCCAACCCCAGTATCTTCAAATAGCTCACACCCAGCAGGTAGGTTCGGCTGTCCTCAGATCAACACTCAGTTGTCTAAGTTGCCTTGAGACTGAACTCTGAAACTGCTGAAACTCCTGGACTCACCCTGAAGTTCTCAGGATCCACATGCAGCTTGTCACAGTGCAGCTCACTCAGCTGGGCAAAGGTGCCCTTGAGATCATCCAGGTTCTTTATGGCATCTCCCAAGGAAGTCAGCACCTTCTTGCCGTGTGCCTTGACCTTGGGGTTGCCCATGATGGCAGAGGCAGAGGACAGGTTGCCAAAGCTGTCAAAGAACCTCTGGGTCCATGGGTAGACAACCAGGAGCCTGTGAGATTGAACAAGAGCAGTTTGACAGTCAGAAAGTGCCACAAATCCTAAGAAGTGGCCTGGACTTTTGCCAGGCACAGGGTCCTTCCTTCCCTTCCTTGTCCTGGTCACCAGAGCCTACCTTCCCAGGGTTTCTCCTCCAGCATCTTCCACATTCACCTTGCCCCACAGGCTTGTGATAGTAGCCTTGTCCTCCTCTGTGAAATGACCCATGGCGTCTGGACTAGGAGCTTATTGATAATCTCAGCCGTTCCAGAAGCGAGTGTGTGGAACTGCTGGAGGGTGCTTCCTTTTATTCTTCATCCCTAGCCAGCCGCCGGCCCCTGGCCTCACCTGATACTCTAAGACTATTGGTCAAGGTTGCCTTG